TTAGTTTTATTGATCTTTGTTATCATTTCCTTCATTTCTTTTTCATTTATTTGTGATCTGATCTTTATGATGTCTTTCCTTCTGCTAACTTTGGGGTTTTTTTGTTCTTCTTTCTCTAATTGCTTTAGGTGTAAGGTTAGGTTGTTTATTTGGGATGTTTCCTGTTTTTTAAGGTAGGATTGTATTGCTATAAACTTCCCTCTAAGAACTGCTTTTGCTGCATCCCATGGGTATTGGGTCATTTTGTTTTCATTGTCATTTGTTTCTAGGTACTTTTTGATTTCCTCTTTGATTTCTTCAGTGATCTCTTGGTTATTAAGTAGTGTATTGTTTAGCTTCCATGTGTTTGTATTTTTTATAGACTTTTTCCTGTAATTGATATCTAGTCTCATAGAATTGTGGTCAGAAAATATAATTGATATGATTTCAATTTTCTTAAATTTACCAAGGATGATTTCTGACCCAAGATATGATCTATCCTGGAGAATGTTCCATGAGCACTTGAGAAGAAAGTGTAATCTGCTCTTTTTGGATGGAATGTCCGATAAATATCAATTAAGTCCATCTTGTTTAATGTATCATGTAAAGCTTGTGTTTCCTTATTTGTTTTCATTTTGGATGGTCTGTCCGTTGGTGAAAGTGGGGTGTTAAAGTCCCCTACTATGTTTGTGTTACTTTGATTTCACCTTTTATGGCTGTTAGCATTTACCTTATGTATTGAGGTGCTCCTATGTTGGGTGCATAAATATTTACAGTTGTTACATCTTCTTCTTGGATTGACCCCTTGATCGTTATGTAGTGTTGTTCTTTGTCTCTTGTAATAGTCTTTATTTTAAAGTTCATTTTGTCTGATATGAGAATTGCTACTCCAGCTTTCTTTTGATTTCCATTTGCATGGAATATCTTTTTCCATCCACTCACTTTTAGTCTGTATGTGTCCCTAGGTCTGAAGTGGGTCTCTTGTAGACAGCATATATATGGGTCTTGTTTTTGTATCCATTCAGCTAGTCTATGTCTTTTGGCTGGAGCATTTAATCCATTTACATTTAAGGTAATTATTGATATGTATGTTCCTATTACCATTTTCTTAATTGTTTTGGGTTTGTTATTGCAGGTCTTTTCCTTTTCTTGTTTTTCCTGCCTAGACAAGTTCCTTTAGCATTTGTTTTAAAGCTGGTTTGGTGGTGCTGAATTCTCTTAGCTTTTGCTTCTCTGTAAAGGTTTTAATATCTCTGTCAAATCTGAACGAAATCCTTGCTGTGTAGAGTAATCTTGGTTGTAGGTTTTTTTCTTTCATCAGTTTAAATATGTCTTGCCACTCCCTTCTTGCTTGCAGTTTCTGCTGAAAGATCAGCTGTTAACCTTATGGGGATTCCCTTGTATGTTACTTGTTGTTTTCCCTCATTGCTTTTATTATTTTTTCTTTGTATTTAATTTTTGATAGTTTGATTAATATGTGTCTTGGCATGTTTCTCCTTGGTTTTATCCTGTATGGAACCCTGTACTTCCTGGATTTGATTAGCTATTTCCTTTCCCATATTAGGGAAGTTTTCAACTATAATCTCTTCAAATATTTTCTGAGTCACTTTCTTTTTCTCTTCTTCTTGTGGGACCCCTATTATTCAAATGTTGGTGTGTTTAATATTGTCCCAGAAGTCTCTAAGACTGTCCTCATTTCTTTTCAATCTTTTTTCTTTATTCTGCTCTGCAGTAGTTATTTCCACTATTTTATCTTCCAGGTCACTTATCCATTCGTCTGCCTCAATTATTCTGCTATTGATTCCTTCTAGAGAATTTTTAATTTCATTTATTGTGTTGTTCATCATTGTTTGTTTGCTCTTTAGTACTTCTAGGTCCTTGTTAAATGTTTCTTGTATTTTCTCCATTCTATTTCCAAGATTTTGGATCATCTGTACTATCATTACTCTGAATTCTTTTTCAGGTACACCACATATTTCCTCTTCATTTGTTTGGTCTGGTGGGTTTTTACCTTGCTCCTTCATCTGCTGTGTGTTTTTCTGTCTTCTAATTTTGCTTAACTTACTGTGCTTGGGGTCTCCTTTTTGCAGGCTACAGGTTTGTAGTTCCCGTTGTTTTTGGTGCCTAAGGTGGCTAAGGTTGGTTCAGTGGATTGTGTAGGTTTCTTGGGGGAGGGGACTAGTGCCTGTGTTCTGGTGTATGAGGCTGGACCTTGTCTTTCTGGTGGGCAAGACCACGTCTGGTGGTGTGTTTTGCGGTTTCTGTGACCTTATTATAATTTTAGGCAGCCTCTCTGCTAATGGGTGGGATTTTGTTCCTGTCTTGTTAGTTGTTTGGCATAGGGTGTCCAGCACTGTAGCTTGCTCGTCTTTGAGTGGAGCTCGATATTAGCATTGAGTTGGAGATCTCTGGGAGAGCTTTCACCATTTGATATTACATGCAGCTAGGAGGTCTCTGGTGGACGAATGTCCTGAACTCGGCTCTCCCACCTCAGAGGCACAGGCCTGACACCCGGCTGGTGCACCAAGACCCTGTCAGCCACCCAGGTCAGAAGAAAAGAGAGAAAGAAAGAATGAAAGAAAGAAAGAAAGAAAGAAAGAAAGAAAGAAAGAAAGAAATTAAAATAAATTTATTAAAATAAAAAATAATTATTAAAAATTAAAAAAATAAAAGTAATTAAAAAATGAGAAAAATAAAAAAGAATGAGAAATAAGAGAGCAACCAAACTAAAAAACAAACCCATCAGTTATAGCAAGCGCTAAAATCTATACTAAAAAAACACACAAAATAAATGGACAGACAGAACCCAGGACAAATGGTAAAAGCAAAGCTATACAGACAACATCATACAAAGCATACACATACACACTCACAAAAAGAGAGAAAGGGGAAAAAAATCTATATATTAAAAAAAAAGGAGGAAGAGAGCAACCAGATCAGTAAACAAATCTATCAGTGATGATAAACTCTAAATACTAAACTAAGATAAACATAAAACGAGGAACAAATTAGATGCAGAAAGCAAACCCCAAGTCTACAGTTGATGCCAAAATCCACTGCCTCAATTTTGGGATGATTCATTGTCTATTCCAGTATTCCACAGATGCGGGTACATCAAGTTGATTGTGGAGATTTAATCCATTGCTCCTTAGGCTGCTGGGAGAGATTTCCCTTTCTCTTCTTTGTTCGCACAGCTCCTGGGGTTCAGCTTTAGATTTGGCCCCACCTCTGCATGTAGATTGCCTGAGGGCGTTTGTTCCCACCCAGACAGGACGGGGTTAAAGGAGCAACTGATTCGGGGGCTCTGGTTACTCAGGCCATGGGAGGAGGGGTACGGAATGCAGGGCAAGCCTGCGGCAGCAGAGGCTGACATGACGTTGCAACAGCCTGAGGCGCCGTGTGTTCTCCCGGGAAAGTTGTCCCTGGCTCACGGGACCCTGGCAGCAGTGGGCTGCACAGGCTCCTGGGAGGGGAGGTGTGGATAGTGACCTGTGCTTGCACATAGGCTTCTTGGTGGCTGCAGCAGCCTTAGCATTTCACGCCCATCTCTGGTTTCTGCGCAGATATCCGCAGCTTGTGCCCATCTCTGGAGCTCGTTTAGGCGGTACTCTGAACCCCCTCTCCTCATGCACCCCGAAACAATGGTCTCTTGCCTCTTTGGCAGCTCCAGACTTTTCCCAGACTCCCTCCTGGCTAGCTGTGGCGCACTATCCCCCTTCAGGCTGTGTTCACGCAGCCAACCCCAGTCCTCTACCTGGGATACGACCTCCGAAGCCTGAGCCTCAGCTCCCAGTCCCCGCCCGCCCCGGCGGGTGAGCAGACAAGCCTCTCGGGCTGGTGAGCGCCGGTCGGCGCCGATCCTCTGTGCGGGAGTCTCCCCGCTCTGCCCCCCGCAGCCCTGTGGCTGCGCTGTCCTCCGTGGCTCCGAAGCTCCCCTCCCACCCTCCGTCTCTGCCAGTGAGGGGCTTCCTAGTGTGTGGAAACTTTTCCTCCTTCACAGCTCTTTCCCAGAGGTTCATGTCCTGTCCTTATTCTTTTGTCTCTGTTTTTTCTTTTTTCTTTTGCCCTACCCAGGTACTGGGGAGTTTCTTGCCTTTTGGGAGGTCTGACGTCTTCTGCCAGTGCTCAGTAGGTGTTCTGTAGGAGTTGTTCCACATGTAGTTGTATTTCTGATGTATCTGTGGGGAGGAAGGTGATCTCCGCATCTTATTCCTCCACCATCTTGAAGGTTTCCTTCCTTATTTTATACCTAGTAGTTTGTACCTCTTAACTGCCCTTACCCTATATTCCCCCCTTCCCCGACTCCTCTTCTCACCGGTAACCACTAGTTTGTTCTCTGTACCTGTGAGTCTGTTTCTGTTTTATTATATTTGTTCTTTTTTTTTTTTGTTTTTTTTTTTTTTTTTTTTTTTTTTTTTTTTTTTTTTTTTTTTAGATTCCACATGTAAGTGAAAATATACAGTATTTGTCTTTCTCTGCCTGACTTATTTTACTAAGCTTAATACCTTTCGGTCCATTCATGTATTTTTAAATATCAGCATTTGTCCCTATTCTAGGTCCATTCTATTGTTCCTATTAAGTGCTTCCTTATCAAATTGAAATGGACTAGAACTTTTTAAACTAAGTTTTGAAGAGTCAGGCGTATGACTGTGTGTGATTATAAATTGATTTTGAAATTTTAGATTGTAACCATCTTTGAAGATAATTCAAAAGATTGATAAATACAGTTACCAGTTTTTTAAAAGCATGAAACCAAGGTATTTCATATGTTGCCCAGAATATAAGCACTGCTAGGATGAGAGCAACATGGTACTCCACCTTGCCTGGGGAGTACTGCATTATATTTCTTAGTGAACACTCCCATTTCACTGTTACCCATCACCACTCCTAAAATATAAGCTGGGAAACTGACAGAATATCCTGATAATTTGGAGAAGAGAATGGTGCAAATAAAGGGGAAGATTCCTCTGTATTTCTGGAAAAAGTGAAAATGCTCAGTAAATATAGTGATGTTCTTACAGTTACAGGTATTCTAAAGACACCCCTATCAATCCATCAGAGAATTCAACATCAAGCTTATCAACTTGTTTGATTAATCAAAATCTGTTACTCAATAGAACATCACTGGAGATAGTGGGAAAAGGTAAGAATTGAACTGGCACTAGTGAATATTAGTGTCACTAATAAATATTCTAAAATTTAACAATTTAATTACATCGTTAAAAAACGATTGTAGGGGCTCCTCTGGTGGCGCAGTGGTTGAGAGTCTGCCTGCCAATGCAGGGGACACGGGTTTGTGCCCTGGTCCGGGAGGATCCCACATGCCGCGGAGCGGCTGGGCCCATGAGCCAAGGCCGCTGAGCCTGCACATCCGGAGCCTGTGCTCCGCAACAGGAGAGGCCACAACAGTGAGAGGTCCACGTACCGCAAAAAAAAAAAAAAAAAAAAAAAAAAAAAAAAAGATTGTGATATCCATTAGCAAAATTGATTTAAAAGACAAATAGGAAAAACATTTGCATCTTATATATGTAAGACAAAAATCATAGTGTTAATATATATTATATATAAAGACCTTCTAGAAGTAATAAGAAAAGAGGAATATTTTGATATGAAATTGGCAAAGAATATATGCAATTAACATAAAGAGGAGGAAGTGGTATAAATATGTTAAAACAATTTTACTCTAAGAAAAATTCAAATTCTTACACCAATTCAAGATTTTTTACCTATTATAAGACAAATCATAAGTTTTAATTATAAATTATAGTACTAGTTAAAGATTTTCCTACCTACTAGATAGGAAAGATTAAAAATAAAAAGAAATGAGGTAGAGGATAAAGACACATTTTATGTATTATGGGAAGTGTATAAATTTCTCTTTTGGAGGTTAATTTTCAATATGGTAAAGAACAAAAATATGTACATCTGCTTAAATCAGCAATTCTACTTTTATTGCTTTATCTTAAGGAAATAATCAGGAATGTGCAGAAGGATTTATTTATCATTATAGCCATGGCATCCCTGTTTAACAGAATGAAAAATTAGAAATATTGTGTGAGTACATAGAAAAAATTGATTAAATAAATGATGAAACTTATTCAGCGCACTATTATGCAGTCATTAAAATCCTGATATGAGAACATTAAGAATATTATGCATATTTTTATGTTCACTAAAAATGTGAAAGATATAAACAAACATTAGAAGTGGTACTCTGTGTGTGGAGGGATGGCAGATAATTTTTACTTGTTTTCTTTGTGCTTTCCTGTATTGTCAAATTTTGTAACATGACTATAAATCATTTTATAATTAGAAAAAAGCAAAAAAAATTCTTAAATGGAATAATTAAATGGTTAAGTTAGTTGACTTTTCTAAAGGAATGCTAAAATTAATGTTTAAGATAAAATACTCTCTTGTCTACGTAGGTTGGGAAAAGGAATCTGGGTCACATATGTGGATATATATTCTATTGGGTAATATGCTTCGTGGAATTGGGGAAACGCCCATAACACCCTTGGGGATTTCTTACATCGATGATTTTGCTAAAGAAGGACATTCTTCTTTTTATTTAGGTAATGTACAGAAAATATTAGATTTTATGGTTACTTTCCCTGGGTGTACCTTGAAATAACAGTGCTCCTAAACTCATTCTTTTACTTCAAAAATTATTTAGATAAATATATTGTATTACTTTAAAGAATTGAATAAGAACCATGTATTATTGGCATTTGATAAAAATGTTTTGTAATATTTTCAGGTAATTTGTTTGCAGTAACAATGATTGGTCCAATCATTGGCTTTTTACTCGTATCTCTGTTTTCTAAAATGTATGTGGATATTGGATACGTAGATCTGAGTAAGTACAATCAGAACAAGGTAACATGATAATGCTTTTCAACTACATGACACCATTCTTTCAAATAACTGAATTCACTCTTTCAGTGGCCCTTTGCTGACTAATTGTCAAAAGTTACAAATAGATAATGTGTTAATAATTAGAATAAAAATAAAATTCAGCTCCTATCTATATCAGGCTTTTACAACTAAGCATAAAATAAGAAAATTTAACAAACTTAAGATTACTTCACCCAAAATAATTGCAAACTAATTGCAGGTCTCTCAATGTGCCTACTAATGTCACTTCCCCACATTTACCCTTTCTCCCATCTCTATTTGCATAGACCTTAAAATCTTTTCCAATACGTGGCTCCTCTTCAGAGATGCCTTACTTCACCACCTCCTACTGGCCCCAAGTTAAGTGTCCCTATTAATCACCAAGAGCATGCCTTTATTGTAGCCCTTGTCACAATAAGCCATAAATATTTGTGCCACTGATCTTCCATCTCTTTTAGAACATAACAGTATGATGTCTGTCTTAACATATGATAAGTAATTAGTGTTTAGAAATAAACAAATCTGATCTTCTATTTCACCAGGACTACATAGAGTAGACATCACAGCAGACCAACAATAACCACAATCTGAAAGTATTTTAATATAAAGCTAAAACGTGGACCAGATGGAATGTGTTATGTCTTCTATTTTGGATGTGTGAATTAGAGTAGGTTCACATTCCAAGTGTTTCTACTCGGTCATTTCCAGGTTCATCCTTGTTTTTAACACTAAGCACCCAGAAATAAATGGTTAAAGTCTTTAGAATGATAGATTTGTAACCTCTTTTCTATAGTCAGAAATCACTACTCACAGTATTTAGGTCCATGGTGATCCCACTTCTAGCACTGAACGTCCAGACCTTATTATATCTTCTCTTATTCAGTTATGGGTATGATGTAAATGTATTGTGAAGTACATTTTGGCAAACTCCAATGCCAAAGGAGCCAACGAGATAACATAAGTGAATAAAGAGTGTTCAATGTGGTGGTTAAACTTGGAAGAATTGGTGGTGGTGAACTGCCCTCTGCACGCACCTGAAAGTGCATATACTGCTCAGCCTCAACCTATTCTTTTCATGAAGAAATTTGGATCCAGCATTGACAAAATCTTCTGATTGGTTTTCAAGAAAATCCTGGAACCCAGATTTTCATGTGGAAGTTTTCAATTTTTAAAACAATGTGTGAACAAAAGAAAACACTTTGGCAGGCTGTGTCTAGCCAGGTTATGACCTCTAGTTCCTATGTGTACACCAGGGATAGAACACAAAAAAATGTTGTCAAAATGACACTTCTGACAGATGATAAATAAGTACTTAGCATGTAGATGGAGTCACTGATTTTATCAATCATTTCTGCAGTCTGTCAGAGTTGCTGATTATGGAATAACATGAACATGTAAATCGATTTTAAACTCAGAGCTGTATATATTTGAAAACCACTTCAATAAATAGAATTAATAATTTATTTCTATATATCAAGTCAATGTTTTCTCACGTTAAAGAGTTTTCTTAAAAATCAAAGAGTAACAACACCATTATTGTGCTTCAAACATCTATGGTGTGTGCGTGTGTGTGTGTGTGTGTGTGTGTGTGATGCTTTCTTATTAGAATGTTTATATTTATAAATTTAAATATATACTGAAACTTTATATTTACTGAAACAGCTCATTTATACTTGTTTAGATATAGCACATACATGGCACTCACACAGCTTTAAAGGGAAATAATATTGAAATAAAATGGTTAAATTATCCCTAAAATTTAGAGTCTAACTTTTAAACTCAGATTTTCATTATACGTATATCTTCACCATTATCATCCTCTGTGCTGTCAAGGAGTTGGAAATGCAGGTTCTACGGGGAAAAACCCCACTATTGGCTCTGAGAATTTCTTGTGAAGTGCTGTAAATTTCATTGCTAGTGCTTTCTTGACCTCAGGAGATGGTGCCAATAGAAGTTTTCAGACAATGGGTATCATGCTTTCCCTAAATGGCCCTTAAATAGTTTGCAGGCTTCAATTGTTCAATGGTGACCACTGTTGTCATGTCACCAGAAAAGCCACCAAGTTCACACAGGCTCAGGCAATGACAACAGTGTCATGACTGACTCCTGGACAAGAGCAATTGTAAGATGTCATTAAATGTTAGACTTACACTTATTTCAAAGATAAAAAGTGTGAAAAAAAGAAAAGAGTGTCTCAGAATTGATGAAACATCATTTACTTTCTTCATCTATGGAGGACAGCAATTACTACAATTATTACCAGAAATTCTTGCATTTCAAAATGATTTTTGACTGGCTTCTTCTAATTCTTTATTCTAGGCACTATCAGAATAACTCCTAAGGACTCTCGTTGGGTTGGTGCATGGTGGCTTGGTTTCCTTGTGGCTGGACTAATATCCATTATTTCTTCTATACCATTCTTTTTCTTGCCCAAAAATTTGGATAAACCAAGGAAAGAAGAAAAAGCTTCAGTATCTTTGCCTGTGCAAAATGAGGAAAAGAGTCAAATGGCTCATTTGACCAAGCAGGGGCAAAATGTTAGTGAAACTGTAGCTGGTAAGTATTTCACATTTACAGTCAATTTGGAATTATTAATCCCAGTGAAAGGGAGGGGTGAATATCCCAAAATAATAAGTCATACTCAAGTCATCTAAATAAAGTTCGATTTCTTCTTTACTAAATTTGGCTGAATTATTCTTCTAAGTTCCTACTAAAATTTGTAAATATTTTCTGAACACATATCAACTCTGAAGGGAAGGGGATTAGGCTTGTGATCTTTAGCAGGGAGAAACCAATCAAAGGCTAAAAATATCTGTTATTTGTAAACCAAAGAGTATATATTCATTTCCAAATTACATAGTACAAACTATGAGGATTAAAACGTCTCTTTCTTCCTCCCTTCCTTCCTTCCTTCCTTCCTTCCTCCCTCCCTCCCTCCCTCCTGTCCTTCCTCCCTCTCTCTCTCTCTCTTTCCTTTCTTTCTTTCCCTTTCTTTTTCTTTCTTTCTTTCTCTCTTTCTTTCTTTCTTTCTTTCTTTCTTTCTTTCTTTCTTTCTTTCTTTCTTTCTTTCCTTCCTTCCTTCCTTCCTTCCTTCCTTCCTTCCTTCCTTCTTTCCTTTCACAAATAGTACCAGGAAGCATACTATGCCCTGGTAATAGAATATTGCCTCTGTTTTCCAAGTATTTACAATATAATGGGGTTGTACCGAAAAATATATAGACAATTGCCATATAGTGCCTATATAAACAATTACGAGTGCCTATAAATTGGGCAACTTAACTATTCTTAGGTGGAGACATGGAGTATGGAGAAGGAAATCAGAGGAAGTTTCTCTCTAGATAGAGTAAGATTATTTTCTTGGTAATTATATAGAAAAAAATGCTTACCTAAATATTAAAAAATGAAGTACAAGCAACAGTAGTAGTTAAGGTTATTGTAGTCAGTCATGTGAATAAGAGCCCTCCACCATTTGATAGTGCCCTTCCTTTCAAACATAAGCCCCGAGGGCTAATGGAGAACAATTTAGGAGCAGTAATTTGGGGAATGATCCAGTGGCAGTCAGAGCAAGATAGTGGAAACAATGTTAATAGTGCAGTTTTCAGATTGCATAGAAATGGCGGAATAGTAAGAGTCAAAGCAGAGCAATGCCTGAACCTTTGACAACCTTTTCAAGTTGAAGTTGAAGTGACATTAGAGCTTGTCAGGTGGAGCCCAATTTCTCCCTCTCATCAGTTCTTCCCCTCACTCCTTTTATTGTTACTTTCTCCTCTCCATCACTCTAATCCGAATGCAATGGTGTGACTTATATTGACTCATGAGAGAAGACTTAAATTTTCAGTCACATTGGTAGCTTGAAATTGGCCATGATGGGAGAAGTTACCACCATTTATGACCGAAATTGGGAAATACTCAAATCAATGTTGTTTTCCCAAGAATCAGTTGTTAAACATTTACCAGCACATCACTGATTTAGGAGTCTTTGAAATTTAACATGCACACTAAAAATACTATTCCAATAAATTTTCATTTGGTCTATGCTACTTTCACACTGCAGCAAATTAAATCCATAAAAAGTAGTGGATTATCTAAAAATAAGGAACGTGGTGACTGTGAGCCTCCCCAAAATGGAGAGGATAATGAAGATGCAAAATAGGGCGATTGTAAACATCATCTGTGTTATCAACTGTGTTTGTAAGATAGTGACCAAAATAAGATAGTAAAGAGGTTCTTAATTATGTGCTATTAGGAATGGATGAAATAACTAAGAACATTTAGTCAGAAAATAATATATCTAATTTGAGTAGCAACAAGACTAGTTGGTTAGAAAGAAATAAAGATATCAGTTCATTACAAAAAAAAATTGTGAACAAGGAGAATTGTCCAAAAATGAGCAATTTCTTTCTGAGATAGTCAGCTTAATGAGTTGTCTATTGATCTGATTATTGAGGATATATAGTGGATCATGATTGTGTAGAGGTTCAGATGATATCCACGTTCTCACTCACCTCAAAAATTCAATGATTTGGTGAGCCCATATACCCTATTTCTTTTGATCAAACATCACAACTCACTTAGAATGCCTCACAAGTCAATTGTCCTTCCTGACTGGGGAGTCCCATGGAGAGAAGTTTAGCATTTTGACCTAACAATTTAAAATGTTATTTATTCCTGCTATACATTTCCTTACATCTTCTTTTTTCTCCTTCTATGCCCTTTGCCCTAATCTTTTTTCTTGTTATTATAAGCAGATGAAACTATTTCTTAGTTACCATTGGATAGAAGGTTTGGTTCTAACCATATCTAATGGAAACCTTTAGAGATCTACAGCACAAGATCTTTCAAAGTCCACACCATCCAAAACTCAGTAACCATATCTGGTTCTGTCTTGCTAGACTCTGATACTTCCCACTGTTTTTCTAAGTGGTTTCTTCCACTTTTAACTCCCATTACAGCTGGTTAACCTGGTGATCATAGACCCAAATTACATAATTCTTGCTAGGTATGGAAGTTATGGATTTGTTACACACCTGTTTGTAGGCATGGGTTTTTTGCCCTACTGTTGTCATAATGTCACTTGAGACACAATATGTCTTTAGGAAAGCTGATGGATAATACTGCCAGATTTACTGAGGCAGTATTTTATGGTAGAAAAGCTATATACCAGGAAACAAGAGATCTGAATCCTGGTACTAAATTGACCTTTATCATTTTTGAACCTTAGTCTTCTTATTTCTGTGAGCTTTGGATTATACTATCTTTAAGATAAATTTCCAGTTAATAATTATATTATTAATATAATGATTATATTATTAAGTGCTAATAAAAAAGAGACATGGCATTTAATTCACTTTTGTTTCTTGAGTGGCTAGCATATTGCCTAGTACCCAATTAAAACCAAACGTTTGCTAAATGAATGAATAAATGAACTAATGATGTATGCAGTTGTAGGGCAGAATGCTAAGAATAACCAAATATGAGGCGAACAAAGCACTGACTAAAACAGCATGTATGTTTGATCCCATTTTGGAGTAAAATGAACTAATTGAATAAATATTAATGCACATATGGAAAAAATTGAAAGAATTTTTTAAAAAAACTATTAGTAGGATTGCAGGGTATTCTGAATTTCTGTGCTATATATTTATGGAATTTTAAATCTTATATAAATTATATTTACAAGATGAAGATATTAATATATATGTAAGCTGCATTATAATATTTTCTTTCTTTTTATAGGTTTTTTCCAGTCCTTGAAAAACATCCTTACCAATCCCCTGTATGTTATAACATTATTTTTGACACTGCTACAAGCCAGCAGCCATATTGGAATTATTACTTATGTCTTCAAATATGTAGAACAACAGTATGGCCAGTCAGCATCTGAGACTAGCATTTTGTTTGGTAAGACCTGTTTATGTTTGCTTGATAAATGCTATGCTACTGAGTCACTGAGCTCCAAGTGACATTTTGTTGTGAAGGAAATTTCACATTTTATTAAATATAATTTTCATTTATTTTTTTCAAATTTTATCAAATCGATGGGTCTTGTGATATAATCATTGTTCTGCATTTGAAGTTACAGCTCATGTTATTTTTGAGGAGATGAATTCCTGAAGGAAAAGTGACATGTGAATGGAACATGTAGATATGATATCTGCATAACTGGATCTTATAATCTAGTGCTGAGCTTCTGAGGCAAATCCTTTTGTAATGTAATTATTATACTTCTATCCTTCATGGACTTTGAATCAGGACCCGATACTTACAAAAAATAGGACATTGATGTTTCCAGGAGAAAAATCAACTTAAACACATCATTGGTATCTATATAATTCAATACAAATATCATATTTTAGAGAGGTTTTTTGCTGCAGTATCTGTTTCCAATGACACATGGAGACTTCTTTATGAAGGAAAGGTTTTCTCATATTATTC